TACTGACCTGTTGTCTGTGGTTCAGTACTGACCTGTTGTCTGTTGTTGTGTGTCAGTAGTGTCTCCAGCTGACACAGAGTCTCTTGCACCACCTGCTGGTAAACCAGGTTCATCTGAAGACAAGACTCAACAGAGAGAGAGATACCCAGCTCACTCTGAACACACACACACACACACACGCACACACACACACACACACAGAGTTAACAACAGTGTGTAGTTACTTGTGTAAACTTACTTGTTTGTGTTACTGACCTCATCACTACTGCTGCTGCTGCAGATGATGATGTCATCATCATCTGAACAAACAGATCAGACATTAGCCAATCAGAATCATCCTCATTCTAAATTATCCAATCAAATCATGATGTCATATCACCAGTGAAACAGACAGACGGACAGACAGACAGTACCTGACAGACAGACAGGACTCTGTGGTCCTAGCTTGTTCTCCAGGTTCTCGATCTCTTTCTGGATTTTTTCTCTTTGAGCCAACAGACCTGCAGCAGACTGAACACACGTCTGTCTTTAAATAACACTGGGGACCCTCACAAATGTTGGCCGAACTTCTGTTAGCTTAACTACTGTTAGCTTAGTGCTAGCTTAACTAGTACTAACTTAGCTTCTGTTAGCTAAGTTAATATGCGTTTTCTTTTTCCCATTTTTGTATTTGAGCAGTGTGGTGGATTAAGGTTTTTGCTTTCCTGTAAATTTCTGTCAGACGAACCGCTCCTTTAAACTGTCTAACTTCTAGAAACAGATTTGCTTTCAAGCACAATTTCTCCCCAACCATCAATTTATGGAATAACATTGTTTTATAGAAATAAGACAATGTATTCTGAGAGTGAGACATTTCTACTCTTTTCTATTCAATAAACTCTTCATATGTGGCTGGGTTCCCTGTGTCCTTAAGAAGTTCAGACATGAACTAAATCATGCATAAAGAATTTCTACACAGCCGCCTCCGTCAAATCTGTCAACGCCTCCCAACAAATTCTATATAAATGATGTAATGATCAACAGTTTATAAGGATTAAAAAGCTTGGGACAGAAAATCCTAAATGATTTAAATGATCCAGTTATGTGATGAAATAACGTGCTAACAGTGATCCCCTTTGGACGGTAAAACTGTTATTTTACAGGTGTTAGCAGCTCTGTCAGTAATTTACTGACAACAGAACCATCCCTGAGGTAAATATCACAGTCACAAGGCTAAATCTTTTCCCAACAACAATCGATTTCTTACATCCCATATCTTGACAATGTTACTGACTACAATGATTTTAAAGTCAAGATGGTTTTGTAAAACTGTTTTTTGTAACATCTGTCATATTGCTCACAGCGTGTTGTGAAAAAATTACTTAACTAGCATTAAATTAGCTACTGTTAGTCAAAAGTTAGCTCAACTAGTCTTAACTTAAATACTGTTAGCTTTACTTAACTGGTATTAGCTTGGCTAGTGTTAGCTTAACTAGTGTCAGCTCAACCAGTCTTAGCGCCTGACTAAAGGTTTACGCATGTAAAACATGCGCAAGCTTGATTTCACCCTAAAAAAAACATACAAGCTGATCTACTAACAGTGCGCACTGAGGACTGCATGCAGAAAAACATGTGCAGTTCATTTAGTACGTTTGCCTTAATGAATGTGCAGTATCGGGTGTTTTTAGCAGAGTGCGCAAAATACTGGGAGGAGTAGATGCAAGTTGGCAGAAACCAGTAATACACGCAAAACACTCATGTGTGTTGTGTATCGTCTCACCTCGTCCTCTGTGTCATCACTTCCTGATTCATCATCTGAGCAGAGAGACAGAAGGTCACTGTTAGACAGACAGACAGACAGACAGTACCTGACCGACAGACAGACGGACGGACAGACAGACAGACGGGTACATGTCTCACTGCTCATCAGCTGTAGATCATTGTTGCAGACAGACAGTACCTGACCGACAGACAGACGGACGGACAGACAGACAGACGGGTACCTGTCTCACTGCTCAGCAGCTGTAGATCATTGTTGCAGACAGACAGTACCTGACCGACAGACAGACGGACGGACAGACAGACAGACGGGTACCTGTCTCACTGCTCAGCAGCTGGAGATCAGTGTGTGTTGCAGACAGACAGACAGACAGACAGTACCTGACCGACAGACAGACGGACGGACAGACAGACAGACGGGTACCTGTCTCACTGCTCAGCAGCTGGAGATCAGTGTGTGTTGCAGACAGACAGACAGACAGACAGACAGTACCTGACCGACAGACAGACGGACGGACAGACAGACAGACGGGTACCTGTCTCACTGCTCAGCAGCTGGAGATCAGTGTGTGTTGCAGACAGACAGACAGACAGACTCTGCTCCAACTCCTCCACCTGTCTCTGGATCCTGTCTCTCTCTTCAGACAGAGAGACAGACATGACTGTGGACAGACAGATGGGTTGTGAAACACATAGGATCCAATTATTGATCATCACTTATTGATTCAGTTTATTTAACCTGCTCCAGTTGGACTGGGAAATAATTCAAGTACTACTGCCTTACTGCATTGAGTACACCCCCATAGTATCAGGATTAGTAGTATCAGTTGTACAGTTAGTATTAGCAGTATGTTTAGTATCAGTAGTAGTAGTATCAGTTGCACAGTTAGTATTAGCACTATGTTTAGTATCAGTAGTAGTAGTATCAGTTGTACAGTTAGTATTAACAGTATGTTTAGTATCAGTAGTAGTAGTATCTGTTGTACAGTTAGTATTAACAGTATATTTAGTATCAGTAGTAGTAGTAGTATCTGTTGTACAGTTAGTATTAACAGTGTGTTTAGTATCAGTAGTAGTAGTATCTGTTGTACAGTTAGTATTAACAGTATGTTTAGTATCAGTAGTAGTAGTAGTATCTGTTGTACAGTTAGTATTAACAGTATGTTTAGTATCAGTAGTAGTATCTGTTGTACAGTTAGTATTAACAGTATATTTAGTATCAGTAGTAGTAGTAATATCTGTTGTACAGTTAGTATTAACAGTATGTTTAGTATCAGTAGTATTTGTATCTGTTGTACAGTTAGTATTAGCAGTATGTTTAGTATCAGTAGTAGTAGTA